AGGTGAAGAGAGATGGAGATTGGGTTCAGGGAGGAGACAGTGAAATTTTAAGAAGAGTACATTATACCCTCCTGTATTTTTTTTTTTTTTTTTTGAGTTGGAGTCTCGCTTTGTCGCCCAGACTGGAGTGCGGTGGGTGCTCCCGGCCACCGCAGCCTCGACCTGCTGGGCTCCGGCGATCCTTCCGCTCAGCCTTCTGAGTAGCTGGAATTACAGGCGCGTACTACCACGCTCGGCTGATTTTTTGATTTATTGTAGAGATGAGGTCTCGCTGCCCAGGCGGGTCTCGAACCCGCGGGCTCAGGCAATCCACTCACCTCAGCCTCCCAAAGGCGCAGGATTACAGGCTGAGCCACCGAGCCCGGCTGACCCTCCTGTATTTTTGTGATTGTTGTTTAGTATGTACATATGTGTGTATGTATGCATGCATTTAAGAGATGGGTTAAAGCCGGGCTCGTTGGCTCAGCCTGTAATCCCGTGCCTTGGGAGGCTGAGGTGAGTGGATTGCCCGAGCCCGCGGGATTGCGACCCGCCTGGGCAGCGAGACCTCATCTCTACAATAAATCAAAAAATCAGCCGGGCGTGGTAGCGCATGCCTGTAATTTCAGATACTTGGAAGGCTGAGGTGGAAGGATCGCCGGAGCCCAGCAGGTCGAGGCTGCGGTGGCGGGGAGCGGTCACTGCACTCCAGTCTGGGAGACAGAGTGAGACTCCAACTCAAAAAAAAAAAAAAGAGAGATGGGTTAGCCAGGCTGCCTTGAACTCCTGGGCTCAAGTCATCCTCCTGCCTCAGACTCCCAAGTAGCTGGGACTCTTGGCAGTCAACGCTGCACCCAGCTCTACTGTTATATGATTATTATGTAAACCAGTGGTTCTCTGAGTGTGGTTCCTAATCAGCAGCATCTCCTGGGAACTCTTAAAAGTGCAAATTCTCAGGCCTGACCCTAGACCTACTCAGTCTAAGAGTGCTGTCCAGAAAATGTGTTTTAACAAGCGCTCCAGATGATTCCCATGTGCTGTAAACTGGAAAACCATTCTCTCATTTGGTGTTGTCTGTGAGACACCCAAGTGAAAATGTCAAGTAGGAACTTGAATAACTGAATCTAGAACTCAAAAGAGATGGCTGAGCTAGCTGTGCAAATATGAACACAATCAGGAGGAAAGAAGAACAAAAATGGATTCAGGATCATCAACAACTGGGGTCGAAGCAAAGGAAAAAGAGTCAGCAAAGGAGACTGAGCAGGAGCAGTCAGTGGGATGCAAGGAAATCAAAAGAGAATGGAGCCTCTCATTCTCCATCCCAAGTGGCAATTAAGGTCTAAACATTCACAGATGTTTTGTGACTGTTTTTGTTGTTGAAGCTGAAGTTGACATTGAAGGGAGGTTGAGTTTCTCACCTGCGGCAGCACAGGGGTCAGCACCAGGGGAAACCGGATTCCTAGAGGCAGAGGCAGAGGCAGTCACGAGTACAGAAATCCCCAAGGAATTCGCAGAAATGTTTGGGCTTCCTCAGGCCATAGGGGTAAGAGGACTAAGGCCATCTTTCCGATGTCCTGGAGAGCAGGGAGGACCCACCTGGCATGCGTCTGTAACAAGCTCACATGTTCCTCTCCAGATGACTAGCTTACGTCTTTTCTAGCAAAGCTCCCATGCCCTATCCTTGCTGCTGCTTCTCAACACGTGACATTGTTTTACCCTTTGTTAAGAAAAAAAGAATCATGAAATGGCAACAACCTCGTCATCCTTTCTCTGAAACTAGAAAATCTACACCCATCTTCTATTGTGCTCCTGTCTCAGTGGATGGTGGATATTTATGGGTCCTTTACCTCTTTGCTGGATCTCAACCACTCAAGATTTCACTCCTAAAGCCAGTGTTTCTCAACTTTTGGCTGCAAGAATCACCTGTGAAGCTTTTTAAAAAACCCTGAATCCCAGGTTGTTCCCCAAAGCAATTACATCAAAATGTCTTGTGGGAAACTGAGGCATTTGAGGTTTCAGAGCTCCCCAATGTGGAGCCAAGGGTTTGAGCCTCTGCCCTCTCTCTGGCTGCAGACTCTGGGCTGCAGACTCTCTCCTTTCTGGTTAATCTTCATCACCATAAAATCATGCCTACTCCTTCCTGTCTTTAAAACATTCTCCTTTGATCTCCACATCAACATCTAGATACTACAGAAGGTCTCCTTGAGAGATATGACATTCCCTGCTGTCTCTGCTTTCTCATGTCCCATTGACCCTTCAGCCTGGGCTCATCTCCCTGGCTTTTGTCCCCATTGCTTTAGTGAAACAATCCTTTTCAAGATCATCAATGACTTCCATTTCATATTTCCACAATTTGTATGAGTACTTTCTTTCCTTATCCTATTCAACTAACCAGCAGCATTCCGCAGAGTTAATTGCTATCTTCTTAAATTGATCGATATATCTGGCTCCATTCTCTTCATTTTCTGGTATCCCACTGACTGCTCCTGCTCAGTCTCCTTTGCTGACTCTTTTTCCTTTGCCTCAGCCCCAGTTGTTGATGAACCTGAATCCATTTTTGTTCATCTTTCCTCCTGATGGCGCCCATATTTACACATCTAGCTCAGTCATCTCCTTTGAGTTCAAGATTCACTTATTCAAGTTCTACTTGACATTTTCACTCAGAGGTCTCACAGAAATCTCCAAATTAACATGTCTAAATGTAACTCTTGGTTTCACCCCAAGCTTTTCCCCTCTACTTCCCACTGTCTTCCCAGCTCTGAAAATGGTGGCATCAACCCAGATGGTCAAACCAAATATCTACAGTGATTCTTGAGTCCTCCTTCTTTTGTCTCTCACCCTCAATTCCTGTGCAATTTCTGTTCTAAACACAGAATAGATCTCCAATCCAACCTCTTCTTCTCATCTCGACTGCCACCACCATAGTTTAGCCTATCATACTTTGCCCTAGTCAATAGCCGGTCTCTCCGGTTTTAGTTTCTACTTCCTCCAGTCCTTTCTATGACTGAAATACCTAGGGAAGGGCATTCTATCTGAGGCAGTATCTAGGGCAGGGCCTGTGGTCTAAGCAATTCTTTCTAATGGAGGTACCTGGAAGCTGCTCACCATGGATACAACTGAAGACCAAGGCAGCAGTTAGAAGAAGGTAACTGGAATATCCACAACACCATTGATCTGTAAAGTTAACATGTCAGGCAACATGACTGACCCTTTTTACCTTAAGAAGGGCTATATACGGAAATGTAGACATGCCCCCCATTATATACAGATGATGTAATCTGGAAAAGCAGTGAACAAACCAAGGTTAGGGTAAATCCTAGCATTCTTGAAATATCCTAGGGTGTTGCATAGTTGTATAAAGTCTGTGATTATCTTTTTGTAGTGCAAAGAAATAAACTCCTGATTTATTTACTTTGTAAGTATGGATTTTTAAAATACAATTTTCTTAGACTAGACCGCTTTCTACATATGCTTCCATCTCAGTATCCTTGGGTGATTCCTTCTCTACTGGACTCCTAAATGGTATTATTCCTGAGGGCTTGATACTATATCCTATTTCCTTCTTTATCTATATTTTCTCCCTAGGTAACTTTCAGATGTTCATTATTTGATTCTCTTCTCCAGATTCACATTATCTACTTGTCATTTCTGCCTGGACATCTATAGTTATCTTCAGCTTAACATTTTCAAATCATAGTTTATCTCTATATGTCTCATCCCTTCAGTCTTTTTCATCTCTGTAAATAGCAACCCATCAACCACTTGCACAATGCCTTTTATCTGGTTGATGAGATTGCTATAAACAAGAGTCCACCTTTGAACTGTGCATGACCCAGTTAACATCTGTTACCATCAACCTTGATCTGTCTCATAGATAGGAGTATTGGGTACAAGATGCTGAGGATGGGTGGGTGGAGAGTATAAGGTTAGTTTGGTGACATCTGCCAACTCTATTGAAATAGGCTTTTCAAAGAAAAAGACAACAGGATCCAGGCTTATATTCTAGACAAGTAGAAAACCTTGTCCATTTATTATCTATATCTAGTTCAGATTAATCCTCATCCAAATGCAGCTCTCACAACAGGGGCCATTCAAAATGAGCAGCAATATAGACTAATTCTGGAAGATATTAACGAGCAATGCATTTGGGTCAGGATGATGTGTGAAGACTCCTGTCCCATCTCAGCTTTCATAATTTCATTGCCTTATTTCCTAAAGACCTAAAAGTGGACCTCCCCCATTGATGCTGCTGCAGCAGCCTCTGGAACTTAAAATCAGCCTTATACCAAGTATGGGAGCAGGGGAGAGCTATGGAAAGGCAGCGATGGAGATGGGGAGAAAATGAGTGTGACTGAGCTGCTAAACAGAATTGACAGAGAAATCATTGAACTTGACTGAATTTATTTGAATATAACTAGATTAAGCTTCTGCAGCAGATAGAGTGACTGAAAATAGCACTAGAAATCAAGTTGTATTATATTAAAATAAAGTTACATGTTTGCACATCCAGAGTTTTGGTTTGCAAAATTTGCACCCACTATGCACATAAACAAGTTTGTGAAAATCCTTTAGATATTCAGACTTTCTGTTCTTGAACTAGAGAGATAGAGAAGTTCATTCCACTATGAACAGGTTTGACTTTGTTTTATTTTTCTGAATTCAGAGTTATGGATTATAATTGTTTTGATAATCAAGTTCAATAAGCCCAGTTTGTTTACAAAGCAATAGCATACAGAGGCTATACCATCAACATAGAGTTCCACAAATAACTAATTGTGCAACGTTAGGCTATCTTCAGTTATTCCTGGGATAAATATATAGTGACTGACTTCACATATAGAGGTTTTAACCTCATATTCATGGACACATTTTGTATCTTTATCTCTCTTTTAGTCATAAAACAATGTATAAAGGGAAGGAACATGTCTTTCAGAATAATTCTGTTACCCCTCCAAAAAATATGCATTGGAAATATGTGAATTTTTAATAAGAAAACCAAATGTTCACCCCCTTCCCCTTACCTTCACACCAAGGATTGAAGAGAATGTATGTGTCTGTTTCTGGGTTTCTCCTGGTTCGGAGTATGCCGTAGGGAGTCCAGACAGCAACATACATGCGAAACTTCCCCACGATGCATTCGGGAGAAGACTGGATGGACAGCCGGACAGATCTATCTTCTCTCATGACAACTTTGGCCCCCCACTTTCCACTTTGTAGCTCTGAGACTATAGGCACTGGGATGTAGGTTCCCTTGTTCTCCTGAGGGTAGCGTCCTAGGTGGAAAAGGAGGAAATAGAGTGTTGAGTAGATTTCATAAAACTTTTCTGTTCTTACTGTCGTCTTGTAGCTGAAGTGGAGGGAGGAGGAATAATTTATTAGGCTTGAAATCATAAAACTTGGGTTTTAAGCTTATCTCTGCTACCAATGAGTTGCATGATAGTAATCGATTTTCTTAACTCAGGTTCAGATTTGTCATGTCTTGCCAACACCAAAATAATAAGACTTACAGAGATTTTTGTTGTTGATTAGACAACAATTACTAGGGCGGATCCCCTCAAAATTGGAATTATCTTTTGGTGGGTGGGCTGTTTTTAGTACAGGCTTCCCCCACGAGGTCAGTTTCAGAAGCCATCAGCATCAGTGTACCAGCTAGCATTGTTGTGAGAGGTCGTGTTCGGCTTCAGTGAAATTTTTTTGGCGACTCTTTCAATGCATTTGCCCATTTCATGATGGATAATTTACAAGTGCACCTGCCCACACCACACTGAGTGTTCAGCAGTTTTTGACCAAAAATGACCCCTGTGCCCCACCCTCACTATTTCACCTGATCTTGCCCAAACAACTTTTTTGTTGCCCCCAGATGAAAAAGTCTTAAAGGGAAATGTTTTGCTGATGTGAAAGAAGTGAAACAAAAAATGACAGAAGCACTAAAAAACATCAAAATTGACAAGTTCAAAAACTGTTTTGCCCAGTGGAAAACGCATCTCAATAGGTGTATTGCCGCTAATGGAGAATACTTTGAAGGCGATGAAGTTTAAACATGTCAGAATAAATACATACTTTTTAAAAAATAAATTCCAGTTTGGGGGGTTGCCCCTCATAAAAAAAGATGTAAAAACACCGATTTGAATGCAAACACAAATCTTGTAGAACACTGTAAAGTTATTCCCTGAAAATCTGCCCTCAAAAAAATTGTTTTATCAGGTAGAAGTAACATTAGTTGCACAATATGTATTTAGGGCCACAAAAGGCAAATGGTTTTTCTTTATTCTGAAAACAATTTCTTTATTTGCTATGATAGCCCCTTAATGGAGTTATACTTACAGGTTATTCATATGTGCTCATTTCTATATGGAACCTAAACATATGTTTATTGACAGTCTCATTAGTGATTTAGGCTTATGTTGTGGGCCATAGTTAAGAGTTCGGGCTCCAGTAGCAAATGATCTGGGTTTGAATCTTGGGTCTGCTAATTATTGCCCTTGCCACCTCTGGAAAATTACTTGATCTTTATAAATTCCCATTTTCTTCCCTTTTTCTTCATCAATAAATGAAGATAAAAATACTACTTATTATATAGAAAGATGGACTAGAGTAACACATGTAAGATGCTTTGCAAATAATTTCTCATGCGTAACAAATACTTAAAAATAGCTATTATTTTACGATTAAGCATCAGGGCATTTTACCATATTTCAAGCCCATCACACTTCATGTATAAGTTATCTCAATGTACCATTTTGGACTACATTCTTATTTCATAGTCTTAACTTCAAAACTAATTTTACCTTTTTTTTTTTTTTTTTTTTGAGTTAGAGTCTCACTCTGTTGCCCAGACTGGAGTGCAGTGGCCGCTCCCGGTCACTGCAGCCTCGACCTGCTGGGCTCCGGCGATCCTTCCGCCTCAGCCTTCCAAGGCTGGAACTACAGGCACACGCTACCACACCCGGTTAATTTTTTTATTTATTGTAGAGATGAGGTCTCACCAAGTTACCCAGGCGGGTCTCGAACCCACGGGCCCAGGCAATTCACTCACCTCAGCCTCCCAAGGTGCGGGATTATAGGCTGAGCCACCGAGCCCGGCAATTTTACCATTTCTATATACATGAACTGTACATAGAAAGTCAACCTTACGACTTGACTCAGAGTTAAAGTTTACAGTTAAGTTTATAGGATGATAATCAAATCCACAGATAATTTTATCTATAATTTAATTTATAGAATAATCAAATTCATAGCTATTCATAGATCTTTTAAACTGAAGCAAATCATTCATTTACAAATCTTTCCAAAATGTAACAGATTAGTTCCTTTTGACTTGAAGAAAGTTACAAAGCAGACAAGCCTGCAAATTATTTGGACTGTAAGCAGAAGAATCTTCAAGATCAAAATATATTCACTTCAATTGGTTTATATAAAACATGTAGAGGATTCCACATTAAAACAAACTAACAAACAATGCTACATTTTAGCCTCCCTAATTATTAAAGTATTTTAAAGATCTTTAAGAGTATTTGGTAGGCTTACTATCAGAGATAGAACATTCTAAGGAGATAGTTACATAAGTTACTGCTATGTAAATCTGTGAGAATGCTTAATCTTAATGAAAATAATAATTTACACAATGCAAACCAGGGAGAAACATTAGAACTCCAGTAATTTGATACTTGCTAATCACCACTCAGAATGAATATCACATATACTCATCTTAAATCCAGTAAAGACCTAAACATGGCTTTCTGCCATGGTGCTGCAATGTCTAAGTAGTGCACATGGGGCTTGAGGACTCAGCCTCCAAGAAGCCCTCTGAATACCCACCTGTAATAGTATGTTTGCTCCAGAGGCAACTCTGTGCCCCGTCTCCTGTTCATGCTTCCTGTTAGTGTGCTCAGCCTTGGGGAGGAGCTCGCCCTTTTCCCCAGAGGCCTCCTTGTCCCCTGAAGCCCCTCTAACAGTTGAAGTGTAGCCATCACAGGCAATCTTGCCAGCTAAATGGTCCATAATTCATTTATTACAGTGACTCCTGGCAGCTGTTGCCACTAATATTATTTGGATTTAGTATTAAAAGAGACACAAGTTTAGCAAAAGTAAACTTACAGAGATAAAAATGTATGTGAGAATGACAAACTTCAATTAAAAAAATAAGAGATGAAAGGAATTTTAAAACTAATTACATAAGGATGCACCTTTGGCAATAGCAAGGGACCAGAAGTGTATATCGGAAAGCACTCTTTGTACTTGCTGTGTGCTCAGACCTCAGTTTCACCTTGGTGCTAACTTCTACTTTCATTGTAAAAGCTTCACCGTTGTACTGACTTCCACTTTTGTTGAGAACATTGAAAGAATCAAGACAATCAATCACTAGTTTTCAATATTACACTTCAAAGTATGACTTCAAAGATTCATATTAAATTTTACCTACCAAATCCACAGTATGCAAAAAATAGCAAAGAAAAAGGAGAGCTATATTTATTCATGCTGACTTAAAACCCAGTCATAACTTAATCTAAAGACTAGTTTGTTAGGACACTTTTTGTTCATATGCCAATATTGCCCACTATGTGCTAATCATTAGTCTAAATGCTGAGAATACAACAGTGAGCAGAATAGACAATAACTCCTATGCTCATAGAGATTATATTCCACAGAAAAAGCCAAAGCCTGTGGTGTTTCTCATATTCCTAATACTCTTTGATTCCTTATAACAAACTATGAGATGGAAACTCTTATCATCATCTTAACTTGACAAATCAGGAAACTCAGGCACAGAAGTCATTAAGCAATTTTTCCAGGGTAATGCAACGAGCAAATAGTGAAGCTCAGTTCTGAACCCTGACGGTCTGTCTTGAGAGTCTAAGCTTTTAACCATGAATATCTACAGTAGTTGTGTGAGCTGAAAATGCATTGAAGTTGGTGAGAACTATGTCAAATTCTGACTCCACAATTGACTACTGGTACAACTTGCTTCATTGTCTTAGCTTCCATTTTCTTGACTCTTTGCAGTTTAATTCAGGAAAGGAAAAGAAAATAGATTTTATAAAAGCACAGTGGGGGCTGGTTCAGGGGACATTTATTGTCTGTTTTTTAAACATAACTGCTATTGGAAAGCAAAGACAAAAGGAAGAAGAGTTAATTTATTTTCTTTTTGGTTCTAAGCCTGAAGAAAGATGGATGTCCCAGAGAAAGTCGGCTACTTATGCTGACCAAGGTGCTGTGGCCAAAGGGAAAGCAATTTGGCTGGCTCTGACACTAACTGTGTGATCTTGGGTATCCCTGTCAACTAAATCTTCGCTTATTCTATAAAATGGAGATTATAGTGGTCAAAGTGTGTGTTGGGGAGGGCAGTTCAATAAGTGGTAGTTATTCTTATTTCCGTGTTTTCCTAGGCTTGCTGGTTCCTGTAAGTGATCCTTTCTCTGTTCTAGCTGTGGGGGCTAGGATGACTTAAATGATAGCCAGCAAACCTATAAAACCCAAATCTGTTTTCAAAGGCCAGTTTATTCCAGATTCAAATCTTTTGAACTGATTGACTTTTCCATTAGGAGAATTGTGCAGGTCAAAAAGAAAAAATGTGATGCCATTTATTAGTAACCAATAAGCCTTAGTAATTCCAGAATCATCATGGAAGAATCACTTGAAACCTACCACTCAATTATAATTTCTGGTTTTTTGAGTGACTAATGGTCACCATAATCTCCATTCATTTGTTAGAGCAAGAGTCAGCAAACTACAACCTATGGGCCAAATGTAGTTTGCTGCCTGTTTGTATAAATAAAATTTATTGGAACACAATTATCCTGATTTGTTTGTGTATTATTGTGCTATGACCACAGAGTTGAATAGTTCTGTCAGAGACCATATGGTCTGCAATGCCTAAAATATTTACTATCTGGCCCTTACAGTAAAAGTTTGCCAATCTCTACCTTAGGGGATTTCACATTTTATTTACTAAAGGTGTGATTTATTATAGACACTCAGTGTCTAAGACTTGGGCCTAAGAAGAAAATACCATCACCTCACCTAGCATTTCCTTCCAAAGAGAAATGTGCTACTAAACTATTCACAATGTTACTATGATTAGGTCAATGTTTAGTTTCCTTGAAACCACCTAGTTAAGTTCCTCACAGTCTCAGGGAATACTGAAAACATAGGAAGTCAGCTGTAACGTTTTATGATTTCATTATTATAGCCAAAATGTTCAATTTTAGGATTGTAAAAGTTGTTTAGAGTTGCCAAGGCAGTTCACAGAGAGACGGAAATAAAGTGATGGGAA